GGGGGCCCAATCAGGCTGCCTGCAGGGACGGGAGGGGGCTCCCCTCTCCCCGACACAGGCGTTTTCCTGCTTTTTCCCTCCCGTGTCTGTCCAGCAGTGTCCGACCAGAGTGGGGAGGGATCCTGCCCCACCCCGGGGGGGCTCCCTGAGCTGCCACAAGGTGAGATCCGGGGGTCTCGGTGCAGCTGCTGCTGCCTCCCACGTGCCTGCGACTGCAGGCCCAAGTCCGGGTTCATGTTTGTGTCATCCTGGGGGCAGGCTGGCCCGGAGCTGGCGCGTTTGGGCAAACTCGACCACCCTCCTGCGTCCCCAGGCTTCACAGCGAGCTAGGCAGGCCCTCAAGGGGGCAGCCCCAGCCTCGGGACCAAACGCCGCTGGCAGGCACAGCCTCTGGACTGTCTTGTGGAGGCGTGAGTGGCATTTGTGCCCGCCCTCCCTGTGGTCCTGGATCACCATTTTGGGGTTGGCGCTCTTACAGCAAGATGGCCACTTTCTGGGAGTGAGAGCACATCCCCGGTCTCTGTCCACAGCCCTCGGGGGGTGGGGTCTGGTGCTGACGGTCTGTCCTGCAGCTGTCCATTGTCCCCAACCCCCCCTTGTCCTCAGTGTCCTCACCATTTCCCTGTGGCCCTGGAGGCCAGGGGTTCCTCTTCCTGGAGCCCTGCCTCATGCCCTCCTTTGGGAGGCTGCAGCCTTGGGCTCTGGCTCAGCTGGGCTGGCTGTGAGCCCCTGAGCTGGTTGCTTGCCCTCTCTGGGCCCCGTCTTCCTTCTGTTGTTGGAGAAGTCCCCCTAGCTGAGATTGGTGTGAGTCTTTGACTCACAAGATGTCCTGCAGTTTGGCCCATTGAGGCTTTTCAGGCCTAGGTCCCTCCGCGTGTCCTGTGACCCATACCTTTCACACAGCCTGCGAGAGGGCGTCTGGGTGGGCTGGAAAGGAGGGGCTCTTAAAGGAGCCTCTCTGGGTGGGCTGAGAAGGGACCCCTACTCCACGGAGAGGCGCAGCTGGTTTGCCTTGCACTGATGCTCAAACCGGGTGTCCCAGGGACAACCCACCTCCATCTCCTGCCAAAAGGTTAGTGATCTGGCTCCCCATAACCCCAGCTCTGCCAGGACCCTTCTATCTTTTTTGGCTCCTGGAGGCATAGAGCTGAGATTCCAGGGTTCTAGGGGTTCCTGGAAGTTTGGCTCCAACTGTTGTATTCTCTTCCCTGTCCCCTGCTGCTCAGTTTGTGCCCATAACCTCCTCCTGGGTAGTCCCCTGAGGTTGGCAGGACTTGGCCCTTCTGGGGCCCCTAAAGCCTGCTCAGGCCCTCCTGCTGCTGAACCTTGGCCTGGGCACTGGTTTCCTGCATCCTGGAAAACCCCGACTCCCTGGCCCAGGCCCACACCTGCTGTGTGAGGCTGCCCAGGTGGCCGCTGAGCCCCCATGGGCTGCCACTGAGGCCGGTCCCAGCAATTTCAGCCAGGCTGCCCCAGGGCCCAGACGTGTGTATACACAGCAGGCACCTGTATCAGCTCAGTGTCGCTTCTGCTCAATGTCTACCTCTCGCGGCTCCCATGCAGCCCATGACACTGCTGACGGGGGCGGCTGGCACCACCATTGTGAATTGCCTGGCAAATTGGGTGCCCTCCTGGGGCTGGAGGGGTCTGGGCTCCTAGCGTCCATCCCTGCTCTCTCCCCTAGAAACGTGTCTTCAGTCTGCCAGCTCTTCTGCTCTACTTCCAGTGCCGCATCCTGCACTCAAGCCCAGGGCTGCTGGCGAGTCTGTGGGGAGGAGTGCGGATCAGCCTCAGCCTCAGCCTCAGCCTCAGCCTCCTCTATGATCCTGTCTCCTGGCGGTTCACAGGTGCCCATCCCCCCGTTAACATTTCACAGTTCCTGGCTTTCCAAAGGCACCAGCTCATATGGCATAACCACCTCAACCCTAATCCTTCCCAAAAATATCCTGATTTAAACTTGGGCAGATTTAGTCTGATTCTTGAAAACTCTACCATTTCTTTTTTGCAGAAGGCACCGATTAAACTGAAATGATAAAATAATTAGTATGAGGTACTTTGCTCCCAGTTAGATTCCCTCTTCCCTGAGAACCCCAGGCTAGGCGAGAGAGGGAGAGAGAAAGAGTGAGAGAGAGAAAGCGAGAAAGGAAGGCAGAGAGAGAGAGGAAGACAGAGAGAAAGAGAAAGGAAGACAGAGGAAGACAGAGAAAGAGAAAGGAAGGCAGAGAGAGAGAGAGGAAGACAGAGAGAAAGAGAAAGGAAGACAGAGAGAGAGAGAGGAAGACAGAGAGAGAGTACATGAGCCAGGATCCCTGGGGAATTTGAAGTCAGTGTGACCAGGATTCTGTGGCTCTGGGGTCAGAGCTGGGACACAGGACCCAGCAGGACGGCCACCTGTTTTGACCCTTTGTTTTAGAAGCAGCTCTGGGTCCAGGCAGCAAGCAGGTAGGAAGATCGGGGCTTTGGCTGACGATGCACACATGAGATGCTGATGGTGTACAGTGAGAGGTTGTGAATACAACAACTGGAGCTGTAGTTGGTGTGTGTGAATGTGTGTAGATGCGGTTCTGTTTAGTGGCGAGACAACGTATGTTTCAGTACTGCTTTCACAGCAACTGTGTAATGCATATGCACTTTCTATACTAGTGGTTTCTTCAGTTTTGTCCGTCCAGTTAAGTTGGAGAAAGAACCAAGTTGTGTTGTTCTCGGGAGCGGGTGCCGCTGCCTCTCCTTGAGTAGTTCTGTGACCCCCCCCCAGTCCAGCTGTTTTCTAGAGAGTTCTTCTAGCTTCTGGTATGCCTGCCCTCCAGCAGCTGGAGACAGATCTTCCCGCCTGACCAAAGCTCCTTGTTTCTTGCGTGGCATGTTTGTTCTTCCCGATCCGGCGGCTGTCGTGACCGAGGGCCTGCCTGCCACCCTCCTGTATCATTTGCCCTGTTAGGGTTCAGGGTGCGTCCTTAGCCCAGGACCTGCTCTTCCAGCGTCGTGGGTTTTTTTCCAAAAGAGTTCAACGGCTCCCTTGAGCTCCGTAAAATATTTCTTTTTTAAAAAAACAGACTCCTTTCTCGCACTGGGATGAATGGTCCTCTTGTCTGGGTGCTGGGTTACAGCAAACAAATGTGTTTGAATCCCAGTATTCCAGAGTTTTCCGGCGGTGGGCTCTCTGGAAGAGACGAGGCTGGAGTTCACGGTTTTTAAACTGTATTTTTACCCCTTTGGGACCCATTCCTGTGTCCTGGAGTCTTTCATGAGGCACGTGGGTCCCCTGCATCCTCACACTCCCCCCCAGCCCAGGTGCAGCCCCGGGAGGGGTGCCCTGACCCCGCCTTAATCAACCACCTTTCCCACCGAATCCCATCTGGGGGGGGGTTTGGGTGCCAAGTGCCCTGGAAACCTATTGTAACATTCCCTCCTTCCTTTCCTTCCAGGCTTGGGGGAACCGTCTTAAAAATCATAGTTAGGGTGAAGTCCAAGCACTGAGGCCTGATCTGGGCTCTGCTCTCCTTGTTGAGAAACTAACAGGCAGTTGGGAGGAAAATCCGAATTTGACTCCACCCTCTTTAGGGCAAAGGAGAAGCAGGTGACCCAAGGAGGGGCAGGCCAGAGGAGGGTGACTCCTGCACAGGGACCCCCGCCCTCGGACCCCGCTGTCCTTTTCTATTTGTTTACTTGGCGGTGGCAGCCAGTCTGACCCTGTCTGTGGTCTGACTGTTCCTAAGTGTGTAACTTTCAGTATTATCTGTGACAGACGGTTCTGTGGTGAAAAAGGTTTATTATATTCCTTATGGCTGCCTTGTACAAAATCCGTTAGAAACGCTAATGTAAGATATCAGATTTCTAACAAGACAAAAACAGCATTATGGAGTTAAAAGATTTTTACAACTGGTCTTGATTTTGATGTGAGCTGGTTTTTAGCTCTCAAATGTTGTCACTTAAATAAAAACCTTATTTGCCTTTACGGTGTGTTTGCGTCCGAACTAAGCTGAGAAGCCTTTCCCTTTATACATGTTCTCCCTGGGATGGGTTTTGGGGGCAGACTGGCTCAGAGCAGAGGTGGATGAGGGCCACAAATGAGACCACAAATGACAGATCTATGGCCCGGAGTGGTGTGGGAGGGCGGGGAAGGTTGGAGGTGGCCGGTGAAATGGAACAGATGTCAAATGCAAGCAGTCTTTATTATGAGAAAGCAGTGTCATCTAGGAAAGTCACACGCTGGTTTCTTATACAACGACAAAGCAGGTTTCTTAAATAATTTACAAAGGGCAGAAATTGCTTTTGAACAGGGCTACCCCTCCCGGCACACCCACAGTACTCCGCCTTGAGCGTATAAATAGAAACCTGTGAGCCCAGGGTCGGAAGCCTGGAAATATTTCCTATGCCTCCCTCCGAGTCCCTGGTAGGGAAAGCAGGGATGACAATGGGGCCCCCAAGAGCCTTGGCACCAGAAACACGGTGGGTGAGTGACTCTGCGGGGGACTCCCCAAAAACCAGACACCTGGGTACACAGCTAAGAGCTCTCAAACCTCTGAGGCTAGCACTTCACGTTATAGACGAGGCAAATAGAAGGCTCAAGGTCAAGTGTACGATGAGTTTCTAAGCTCAAGAGTCCCCTGGGAAAGCAGAAGGAACAATTCTCCCCCTCTGCAAGGTCTCCCCAAGACACTCTCAGGCTATGGCAGGCAGTCACTGATGGGTCCAGATGTGGCCGGAGCAGGGGGCTCTGGGCCCCTTGTTAGGTGCTTGTTAGCAGTGGCCCGGGGGTACTGACAACTCCTGGGGGTTTCCTCCGGGAAGCTCATGGGGAAGCATAGACATCCTTGAGTACGAAGACTTGGCGGTCAGACAGGGCTTGTTTCCTGCAAGACAGCTGCCTTTGTCACTGTGCTTAAGGTCGGAGAAGTAGGGATACCTTTCCCTGCTCGCTGTGGGGTGGGGGCTGCTGGAAGGTGGCTGTAGCTACTCGGGGCCCCTGGCATGCTGTTAATGATGGGGTCTGTGAGGTTAGCAGCTCTGGCTCCAAGCAGCAAGCGGGTCCTACCTACTCTGCTGTGCCCATCAGCTCTGTGGGTTTTTCTTTAACTTGCTCATGCATGAGGTGGAGGAGGAGGAGGACAGTGAGAAAGACGCTTGGGAGGTGGGCATTACCTGCAGGCACTTCCTCAGTCATGAATGAGAGAGATGATGTCACCACTAGAGAGAAGGGGAGGGATTGATGCCACTGGGTGTGGTGGGCTCTGAGTGGGCCCCTCTCAGCCTGAGTTAGACAAGATCAGACCCGGAAACGTGGTAGGAATATGGCCCTCCAACACACAGAGCTGGCAGGGCTCCGCCTTAGAGCCCATCATGGCCATTATACAAGTGGAATGGAGAAATAGCCCCAAGTTAGGGGAGATCCACAACCGAGGCCCTGCCCCTAGGATGGGGCCATGAGCAGAGACACCAGGAGCTCCATAGCAGTCAGGTTGCTTTTCCCTATTCCACAGGCAGGCAGGGCACAGAGGAGCCACGGACAGTTCTGGAGGAAGGGCAGGCTTTTCGGGAACCAGCCACGTGTGAGGTTCCAAATGATGGACAAACGTGGGGGCCCAAGGCCCAGAAGACCACACACATTCAGGCTGCATCCTTTACCATCAACCCAGTCCAGGTTTTTGTCCCTTCTCATGTTTGAGATGAGGGAGACTGAGGCCCAGAGAGGGGCAAAGACTGGCCAGGGTCACACAGCAGGTCAGCGCAGAACCAGCGCCTGCCTACAAAGATGGCCGGAGGGGCCCTGCCGGCCACTTCACTTTGAAGTATGGAATGCCAACTCACCTCTCTTCCGCCATAATGGCTTCCTCTAGCTCTTGGGACAGCTTCTGGAGATGCTGAATTCCCGCCCCCACAGGCTCTGGGTCACTGTCAGACTCGCTGAATGAAAGAAAAAGCCACACCAGTGACTAGCTGAAAACTCCTGGCAGGAGCCCCTTGCAACCCAGTACCGGGGTCTGGTCTGTGGGCCCAGATGACCCTGGCGGGTGGAAGTGACCTCAGAGCGACAAACAGAGAGAAGATCAAGATCCACAAGGCCAAGGTCATGGGCAAGTGATTTTGCAGCGTCCCCACTTGGAAACTGAGCCTCAGCCCTCCAGGTGGCTTCAAAACTTGCTTGTGGGCTCACCAGGAGGCTTGGGTAAGTGGGATTGTGTCAGAGCTCAGCTCAGCTCTTTCTTTACAGAGAAACTAAGGTCCTGAAGGATTTTCTCAGGTCCTCTGCTAGCTCTGGGGGCGGAACCAGGTCAGAACACAGATGTGGAGAGTATTTTTGAAGTGTACACAAGCCTTATTTTAGCTTCCAGGTTTGCAAAGAGCCACCTGGTCACTTACATGCATCCTGGTGACCACCTGCCACGACACAGGGGCAGCTGCTAGGCAGCCTTCCCTGAGAGCCCCGAGATGGGAATAGGAAGCTGCGAGGGACTGTGGACTGGGATGAGCTTCACCCTCTCCCCCGAGCCAGGCCACTTGCTGGGCCTGTCTGAGAACTAGAAAATTCTGCAGGGCAGGCCAGCTTGATCGGTGGGGCAGAACACCCAGATGGTCTGGACCCCAGCCTTTACTCCTCTGTTTCCTACGGGATGGCCCTCGTGCTAATCACCAAAAGCCTCCGGACCTCCGTTTCATTACCTGTCAAACGGGACAAACAGAGCCTACCTTAATTACAGCTTAAGGTTCCTATGAGACTAAAGAAAGATGCTAGCCCTCAAAGAAATTTGGGGAAAAATTCAACAGCCCAAAGCTACTATACAGCCTTAACTAACACACTCCATTTCCCCCTAGAACTCAGCCGGAAAGTTGAAATACAATCCTTAGGAATCTAGTTGTTTTGTTTTCTCTTTTTTTTTTTTTTCTTTGAGACAGAGTCTCACTGTGTCACCCAGGATGGAGTGCAGTGGCGCGATCTCGGCTCACTGCAACCTCCACCCCCTGAGTTCAAGCAATTCTCCTGCCTCAGCCTCCCAAGGAGCTGGGATTAGAGGCATGTACCACCACGCCCAGCCAATTTTGTATTTTAGTAGAGATGAGGTTTCACCATGTTGGCCAGGCTGGTCTCCAACTCCTGACCTCAGGGGATCCACCCGTCTCAGCCTCCCGAAGTGCTGGGGTTACAGGTGTGAGCCACTGTGCCCGGCCAGTTTTCTCATTTTCTAATGAACAAATACACGCACTGGATATCTGCTAAAGCAGGACACACATTTAACAGTAAGAATAATTATAACATGATATGACGCTGCTCAGGGTACCCCTGGCTCCAGGTAGCCACAGGAGGTGCCAAGAAGCCCCTGGGACCCAGCTGGTATCTGGGAGGTCAGAGAGCAGGGACTGTGCCCAGGCTAAAAGGTCACCAGTGCCGGGGTGAGGCACTATCCCACTTGCCTGGGAGAGCAGAGGGGCTCTGTTGAGGAGTAGGGGCTCCGGAAGGCAGCCTCCCGCCTTGACCGCCGTGATGGGTGGGCACGTGAGCCCATCCGGGCAGAGAGGTGGTGATGCTCCTTCTCCCGGGGCTCTGTGGCTGAGTGGGCAGGGGCGGCTCCAGACAGCCGAGTGTTCTTCTGGCTCAGGCTGTGAGCTGGGGATCCACTGCCCTTCTGTGCTCCTCTCTTCCGCCTCCTGGCCTTCACCTGCGTCTCCACCAGCCACTTGGTGCCACTTTGGCAGGACTCCTGGATTCTCTGGAACAGGCAAATGGAAAGGTTAGCACAGACACAACCAAAAGTGAGGCCGGGCACCGTGGCTCACGCCTATAATCCCAGTACTTTGGGAGGCCGAGGCAGGTGGATCACATGACGTAAGGAGTTCGAGACCAGCCTGGCCAACATGCTGAAACCCCATCTCTAC